CAGTAACACAGCGTTCCTACGGGAAAGTAACGGTAATCTAATTACCGTTTTTGCAATAGTAATCCCTTACTTTACTCATTACTTGAAAAAAGTAATCGGATTACAGTAACGCGTTACAAGTAACGCGTTACTGCCCATCTCTGCTGATAACTAACATCTATGAGTTGAAACATGTGCTATTAGAGGCTGGCTGTGAAGATTTTCTATCTCTGAACAGGAATATGTCTGCATGAATATCTAAACAGAAAATGTGAATTACAAACATTTAAAGTTCATCTGAACCTTTACTCTGAATGTAGCACAGTGAAATGGGATTCAGCTGCTCTGGAGCCTGTAACTGAAAAATAAATCTCTGTGATGACATCACATTAACAATAAACTGATTTCATGTTTGAGACTTATTTTCAGTCCAATATCCATGAGATCTGTGCCGTCCACACAGAGGAACATCAGAGCTCCACATGAATGTTTCACAATAAGAGTGTTTCTGTCCTTTTAAGTTGAAAGAGACAGGAAGTGTGAGTGTAAACAGTGTGATGCAGTGAATTCAATTGATCAAAAGTACTGAAAGTGACTGTATTGTTTTATTGATTATAAAGTAGGAGAAAATTATGAACCAAGGTTTGTATTATTATTACAGCAGGGCTGTCGTCAGTGGTTGATTTAATGAGTTGGCAGATAATTAGATTCCCCCATGAGCTCTGACTGAGGAATACAAATGAAAACAGGAGATTTTGAGTAAAGAGGAAATGTGCTGATGACATCACAGAGTGCTGCTGTCTGCTTTTAAAGCTTTAATAGACTCTAACTCACACAGGATGATGAAGAGTGTGAGCTGTGAGCTGGTGTCACAGAGTTCTTCCTGGTAACAGATGACGCTGTGGTCATGTGACCTGTCCTCTGTTTTTAGAGCAGCTCTCAGTCAGACTGAGTCAGTTTGTCAGCAGAACTCAGGAACATGGCTTCATCCTTCCTCTGCCTCAGCCTCCTCTTCATCAGCCTCAGCACAGCAGGTACTATCAATACACTCATAAATGATCATTAACACACTGATTAACACTCTGATCAATGATGTGATCAGTCCACAGTCTGATGTTCTGTGTGGTTGTGTTTGTTCTCAGATGGATTCATGATGTATTGGGTGTCTCGCTGTAAGTTTAACTCCACTGAGCCGCAGGACATCGAGTTCATCAGGTCTTACTATTTCAGGAAGGTTGAGTTCACCCGGTTTGACAGCAGTGTGGGGAAGTATGTTGGATACACTGAGTACGGAGTGAGGAACGCAGAGGCCTGGAACAAAGATCAGGGAGATCTGGCTGCTATGAACGCTAAGAAGGAGACGTACTGCCAACACAACATTGGTATCTGGTACAGCAACATTCTGTCTAAATCAGGTGAGTGTGCTGGTCTGTGTGACATCATCAGGTGTTCATGTTGACCTCACTCTGAATCATTCATGATGGACTCACAGCTGCAGACTGATGATCAATAACTAATAAATCACTGATCACAGCTCTGACAGTGACACTCTAACCTCAGTCTGTGGCGCTCCCTGCTGGTGAAACAGGCAAACTGCAGCTGTTCATTATAACACACTGATGATATTCATTTGTTTTTTTGTTGTTGTTTTTTTTAATTTTTTTGAGCTGAAAAATCGTCCATATTTGTTTTCTAATATTTTCATATAAATATTTTTAACAGCATGAAGCATCTTTACAGGTTAATAAAAAACAAACCCTTTTCGTTCTTTTCTTCTAATTCATTGATTTTCAATCAGATAAAAATTAGAAACACTGATGTTTGTTTAATGCTGTCTTTTCACAGCTTGTTTAGCAGCTTCACACCTGCACACATTTACAGCTCAGATCTATGAGTCTGTGAAATAGTGGAGCTATTAAATATAATGAAACAATTATAAAGTTATCATCATAACACACACATATAAATGTGACTGCTGTTATTTAATCTGTGTGTGTGAAGTGTCTCACTCTCTACAGCATCTCTGCAGTAAAGTGAGCTAAAGTGCTGAAACAGCAGATTAGACAGAGCTGATAAATTCATGAATCAGCTGCTGTGCTGACAGGCTGACCTGACTGATGGGTTTAAATGTATTCAGAGTGTAAACACACACAACCTGTGAGCTGTGTAACACGAGGTTAATAATTCATGTGTTCCAGTGTGACTGGAACACAGCTGACAGCAGCAGCAGCTCAGAGGAACATGAGGAGAACCAGCTCAGAGCTCCTGTGGAGGGGAAGCTGTCTGATAGTGAAAAGTCATCCTGTGTGTTCTGCTATTGGGTTATAGATGGCTAGATCTACAGTGATCCTAAACGCACCATGAGTGTTGACCCATGTGTGGATGAGCAGGCTGTGTACAGCAGTGACTTCCTCTCTGGAGTGAGATGGTGTGACCTTTAGAGAAGGAAACATGTGAGAAGTTTCCTCCATCAGGTTGCAGCTCTTATCTGACCCATCTGTGTGTGACTGGTTAGAAATATGGTCAGTTAAAGAGGCACAACGCCCCCTGCAGGCTCTGGATGGTACAGTCTGATCAGCGTGACCCTTGGCCTCACTTACCACCACGATCACCATCTCCTCCACCGTTGTTGTTCCGCTTGCAGTTGATCCTACATCAGCATTTTAATTCATTACACTTGGGTGTAGGCATGAACAACTGTTCATGCCTACACCCAAGTGTAATGAAACAGCAACCAGTGTAAAACATTCATTAATCAGCTGCTGTGAGTGTTTAGCTGTAAAAAACAAACAACACAAACACACTGTGAAAAGAAACAAGTGTATCAAACAAAAATAAATCATTTGTACTTCATAGTTTCTGTTCAGGAGTAAAACAGATGGATGAGCAGAAATTCAAACTGGGACCAGCTGTGGATTCAATCCTTTAGTTTGATGTTGATATTAAACTGAGTGAAAGCAGGCTGGGTTCATTTATGTGTGGATGAGTTAAGGTGTTAGTTTATCATCTTGTCTCTATACGTCAGATTTTACTTTCAAACCACAGCAGCTGATCTGCAGGAGGAACATTTCACTGATGGTTCACACTGATGTCACTCTCAGTCAACAGTTTACTGGATATTAATAAAAACTGATGCTGATCCAGGTTTAAGTCTGGTAGATTTCCAGCACATACAGGTCTGCATGTGTTACTTTATCATAATGATGTTTCGGCTGATTCATGATCTGATGTCAGACTGGTTATATGTGACTCTACTGTTAACAGTATCTTTATTAATACACACGTATACAATCATCCCTGGCATTTTGACATTAACAATTACATAAACTCATAATGGCTTCCAGCTAAGCCCTCCGTCAAACTTCACTCCATGACTCCTGCTTCCAGTCAGCATCCTGCCATGTTGGTCTGCAGTGTCTATGACTTCTTTCCCAGTGAGATCAAAGTGAGCTGGCACAGAGACGGAGAAGAAGTCACCTCTGATGTCACTTCCACTGAGGAGATGGCAGATGGTGATTGGTACTACCAGACCCACTCACACCTGGAGTACACACCCAGGTGAGCATCATAATCCATGGAAACAGACTTTTGATATGAAGTCAGGACTAAAATTTAAAAGTTTAAAATCTGAGAGTCACCGATGTTTGTGTTGAAGGTCTGGGGAGAAGATCTCCTGTAAGGTGGAGCACGCCAGCCTGGAGAAACCTCTGATCACTGACTGGGGTAAATACCTGTCTGTATCTACACACCTGTACACACCTGTTGTTGCGTTTTCATTTTCACCCCGGTTCTTTTTATTCCTCGGCCCATCAGAGAAGATACTCAGTAGTATTTCACAGACAGTAGTTATTTCACAAAACCTTTATTCATCTTCAGTTACGCATGCACTAGAAGGGGAGACGTGCAAGGCCGGTGTCCCTCTGCAAATCTCCACTTCTTTTTCTGTTACAAACAGTTTTATAGAAGCGACCCCCCATCGTAAAACCCACATGGTGTGTTGCAAACAGATACAGAGTAGGTGTCCTCCTATACCATATATCAGAAAGAGATGGTACGACCTCTCTCTTGACCCTAGGATGTGTGTGTATGCCAGCACACTCTGGAAGGCACACAGAGTCTTTACAGACTACTAACGATCAGACATCCTATCAATATACAATTGATTATAAAACTCTATTATATTGTAATAATTGTTTTCTTGTACTCACACTGTACATACCTACCTGTCTGACTCTCACCTGTGTGACTCAGATCCCTCCTCGTCCATGCCTGAGTCAGAGAGGAACAAGCTCGCCATCGGAGCCTCAGGACTGATCCTGGGTCTGATCTTATCTCTGGCTGGTTTCATCTACTACAGGAGGAAGGCCCGAGGTCAGAACTCCCACTCACAGACCAGTTCATACCTGAAACCAGTTTAGACCAGTCTAAATCTCAAACCACACTACATGAGTCTAAAACTAGTTTACATCAGCATTTTTTTATATATTGATGTTTCAGGCAGGTTTAGAGCATTGCTGTTTATTTACAGACCACTGTTAGTTTCATTAATGTTTCAAACACAGGTTTTTACTGTTTTTTTTAAAGAGGAGTCTCAGACCTGTTCCAAGCTCTTAAACATGAAACTTTACTGAATCATTAGTACTGATCACTTTAAAACCAGTGTCCATGATGTGTTTTCAGAGTGTGTTGGTGACTGTGTCCTCGTCTCTTCTTCTTTCAGGTCGTATCCTGGTTCCCACTAACTGAGCCGGGATCCTGCTACTGGTTCTGTCTGATGTTGTAAAAGCAGCTGCTTCCTGTGTTCAGACTGATGATGATGATGATGATGATGATGATCTCTATCTGGACTCTGAACCTAATCCAGGACCATCTCAGTGTTGTAGCTGGTTGTTGTGGTTTCACTGGGATGGTCCTGGGTCAGGTCTAATGTAAACTCTGCTGTTTGATGCTTTACCTCTGCTGTTTAATCCATGTAATGTAATCCCTGTAATCCACGTCTCTGAATGATTTGGGTGTTTCTGCTGTTCTGATTACCATAGATCACACATTTTTACTGGAGGTCATTGTTCCAAAATAAATTACTCAAACTCTCAGCTGTGTGTTTGTTTACCTGCGTCCTGTTAATGTCAACCTGAAGAGTTTAGATCAGTAGATCATTACATCAGTAACTGTGACTGTTGGGGAAGGGGTCACGAACAGTCAGAACTTCATTATTCAAGGGATCTCTGGCAGATCGCCTGGTTCTTTTCAGCAGATAAAATATGGAAGCATCTGATTTTTATCCCCACTATATTAATTAAAACTAAGAACTCACTATCTTGGCCTAGAAATGAACAATCAGCATTCTGTGTGATGCACTTTCTGTGATCTCAAACATAACTAGAGAAAGTCTTGGAATTCCTTCATTTTTTAGACTAAAACTACTATTTCAACCAATGAACCTGTAGCATGTTTGCTTTTAAATGTCACTTTCCTTGGAAAGAAAACTATTGTAGATGGTTGGACCTCAAAGGAAACCAGAAATCTGTATCAGTTATTAAAAAGCTTACTGGTGCATCTCTAAACAACTGAGTATAAATTTAATAGCCAACACTATATATGATTTATGTAACTTTTATGTAACAATTAGATTTATACTGAATATAAACAATAACTCATAATCAGGTGATAACAAATGTGTGAAAGTTAAAAATATCTGTAAAAATATATTTAAAATGAATATTCTGTACCTTTAAAGAAGCCAAATTCCTTTCATTATTCATTTTAATATTGCTGCTGTTTTAATGTTTAGATAATGATGTGAGGGCAAAATTATGAATTCCAGATTTAGAATAGAATAGAATTCAATAGAATAGAATAGAATTCAACTTTATTGTCATTGGACATGTCACAAGTACAGGCAACGAAATGCAGTTTGCATCCATCCAGAAGTGCTTTAGCCATGATACAGATATATTACAAATATTTATTAGCAATAATATAGATATGTAAGTATATTACAGAAATGGGTCTTTATGGGTATGTTACAATGTACACAGTATGAAGGTAGGTTATGAATATGCTATAACTATAAGTATGTACGGGCTGTAGTGAGTGTACAGGCTATGAACAGGATATAAATTTAAAGCTATACAGAAATATGCAAGTTATAAACAGTTGTAAACAGTTGTAGAATTATAATTATTGTATTGTACAGAATGATTGTTTATACAGCATTTACAGTAGTGCAGTTAAGATAAGTGAGATATGTGGATAATTTCTACAGAGGTTATATAAAGTGCTGGTGGTTGTGAGTGGTGGTTCAGTCCATGTTATTATTGTGTGTTTTAGGGTACAGTTGTCCATTTGTTTGTTTTTGTCCATTGTGTGTGTGTTTTTCTGGGTGGATATGATATCAATTAAACCAGGCGTTAACATTTGATTAAGAGGCCGGGGTTTATCCAACAACACTGACTGTATCACAGGATTAAAGCATAAATCACAGGATATCAGTTTGTATACAACAATGAATGTCAGCTGACATATTCACACAGTGACTTTGTTCAAACAACTGAAACAACAAAACGATTAACACTGAAGTGTTTGAAACATGCATTCAGTGATTTGTAAAACAAGTAGAAAAAACTCATCCTTAACCTTTGATTTAGTGTGAAAATATTTAACTGAAACATATTTAACTAAGAAATTTAATAAAGTTATATTTGATTTAATAATTATGCTTTGGATGTAATCAGGTATTGTTTTCTATCCATCAAGCTTTGTATTCATGTGACACAAAAGTAGAAATGTCAAATATTTTTGGAAACGTAAGACAGAAAATATTTAGTCAGTTATTTCCAATGAATACAATAATGGTATTACAAAAATAAAAATAGCATTGGGGCACTGTTTGTAACAGAATAGATTCATCGAAAATGCAAATCGAATAAATCTAAAATCTATACAAACAATTCAAACATGACTCTGATTATTCTATATGAGCTGTATTTAAAAATAAAAAGATTAAAATATTAAAATGTGTAATAACCTGATGGTGAAGAGATCAATAAACCCACAATCTTATGTTTTAAATTAAATTCTAACTTTTAAACAAACTGAACTGAGAAACGGTCATTGGAACTGTGAATATATGTCATGGTGTTTTAAACGGACTCAGGCGCAGATCAGAAATCATTGGCAAAAGAGACATTGCGTTTATTTACAGTGAAACACCAGGTGAGAATATATATATACAGTGTGGCAGGGGAAAGGGTCCGGGGCTCCAGGGTCCAGGGGAAACAGAGATTAATCTTATACTCTTCTCCTCAGCAGATTCCAAATGCGCACACGCTCGCTCAGGTCCAGGGCAGATCTATACACACACACAGAAAGATGTCCAGGTTAGGAAAAATCTCAAACTCTCAGATTCAGATTCAACAGATTAAGAGGGACTGACTCTTATGGCTCAACGTTCCAGCGAAGAATGACACAGGTCTGCCATCATAAATAGTGCTCCAATCAGCTGGGATCAGCTTCAGGTGTGACGGTGAGCACAGGTGCGTGGGCCAGGGCAGGAACCCGTACTGAGCACCGCCCTGGCAGAGGAGAGAGAGAGAGAGAGCAAAGAGGGAAAACAAACAAAACATTTTGCCTAAAACAGAGTCAGCCAGCGAGGCACGGGGACCATGAAAACAACAACCAACCTTTATTTGTGACATACACAATTATACAGAGTACAACATGTAGTAAAATGCTTGTGTCCAAGTTGCGGACAGGCTGCAGACATAGCCGCGCCATTCCAGGGCTTGGTGTTTAGGCAGGACCCTTACTGGATACCGGATTGGTATCGAACTTGTGAGTCTCACTCCGAAGGTGTGTAGTCTTACCATTACCTCCAAAAGTTGATTCTGTTCATCTGTTTGTAGTGTATTCTGGGAGAAACGTTTCGTCACTCATCCAAGTGACGTCTTCCGTCTCAGCTGACTGCAGGTTTCAATCTTATAAACAGGACATTTGCATAATGACTGAAACCAGCCCACTGAAGGAACAATGGGCTGGGAGGTCAGTTCCTTAATCATAATTATGCAAATTCTCATGACCATTGATCAACGAATCGAGGAGGGGGCCTAAGGGTACATCTGTCGCCATCTTACAATGCTGTGATTGCAGCCATTCCCCAACTCTCTGTGAATGGTTCTCATGGCCATTGATCAGTGGTTGTTGATCAGTGGTTGTTGATCAGTGGGTTTTGATCAGTGGGTTTTTGTTAGGGTGAACGTTTGTCATTTTTATGTTACCATTTGTACATTGTTTTAAGGAATTCTTTCTGTCCTCCCCTCCCCAGATTCTCGAGGTTCTGAGTGGGAGGCAGTAGTGTTTTTAATCACAGGAACATCCTTGTGAGGGTCTATTTGATGTTGGTAAACTT